CCCGTGACGGAACCGCCGCGTCGGGGCCGCAAGCCGCCGGCGCGTCAGAGACGTTGGCCCCATACGGCCAGAAAGGCGCCCTGCGCCTGCACACCCTGGAGCGGGGCCGCGCGGAGCCCGCCCGCCCGGCACTCGCCCCGCCCAGACCCCGCACCTCGCGCCCGAGCCGCTCCCGCAGCTCATCGGGGTCTGCTCCCGCCAGCCCCTGCGCCATGGCGCCGTACACATCATCACGCATCATCTCCGCGAGCTGCGCGCGCTCCGCAGGCCCCAGCGCAGCCATGAGCCTGCGCGCGGGGGCGCGACGCGCGTTTCGTTGCCGCAGCGCTGTGACCTTCGAGCGAAGGGCGGCGCACTGGGCGAGCCAGCTTTGGGCCTTCCGCACACAAAGAGCCGCATGCCAGCTGGCACCGGAGCCGCCGGTCGCCGTCGCGCCGAGCGGCCGCGTCTGCGCCAGCCGCACGGCCGCACGCGATGCATGTATGGGGCGCGATCGCATCATGGTGCAGTGCAGCCGTCCCACTCACTCGGCGACGGCCTCGAGCTCCTCGCTGCCGTCCGGGAGATCTACAGGCCACAGCTTCTCCACACGCTGCGGCTTTGGCATGCGCGGTCGCCGCCTGCCGCGCAGGCGCTCTGGTCGGTCCGCGCCGCCGCTCGGCGGGGTGCGGCGGGCGGAGGCCCGCACGTCGCGCGCGGGGCGCAAGGCTGCCGTGCTTGCTGGGATGCGAGCAGGCATCATCAGTGATGGCAACTGAGCCATCCAGCTGCAGTTGATATGGGCGGCGCGCCCTGGAAGCACCGCCATGCGTTCAAGCGCGTCTGGGCCGCCGGGGCGTGGCTGCTGCTTGTGCTGCTCGCGCCACGCCACTTAGACGAGCGGCGTTGCGCAAAAAGCACGCTGACAGCTTCGCGCTGCAATCCTAATGTTTGATATACGACGGAGAAGCGTTCGCGACGCCTGTACGAGCCAGAACAGAGGGCGCCGCGTTCAAAGCACGGCCGCGGCAGCACCCAACAGCAAAAGCGGCCCCAACAACGCAGAGAGACTTTCCATTCAACTTTTGGGCGTATATGATGTCTTCGTTTGGTGTAAGGCCCAGCGTGAAGAAACTGTAAGTCTGGATCACCCGATCATTCCAATCTTGATCGCATAGATCGATGCTCCTCCTTTCATTCTTAACACTGGAGAAATTCGAAATGCGTGCACAACAATAAGCTTGAAAGCACCCTCGCGCGCAGTACGCCGCGGGTCAAACACCGAGGAGACCAGGGGATTGGCGGGGCTACAGCCCCAGGTGGTCCGTGAGGGACGCCTGGAACAGCAATGGAGTCGTTGCTGAAAGGGCAGGTGCGGCAGGGGCACGTGCTGCTCCGATGACACTGCTGCTGCACGCTGCTGCTTTTGCGCACGCTCATCTGTCCCGCAGCAAACGCACATGGCCAGGCCCACCTGAATCCCTTCCAACCCTGAACACGTACATGCAAACTTTGTGGACATACAGGTGGCGAGCCTGCCGGCTCGCAACGTGCGCAATGACAACTTCCTGCAGCGACTGTTTCTGACGTGGGTTTATGCGATTGTCGGCGCTGGCCGGAACAGCGCCCTCCAGCAGGAGGCGCTCTGCATGCCCGCCGACCAGGCAGCAGAGGCAGCATCTGAGAAATTTCTCAAGCAGTGGGCGATCGAGCAGGAGGTCGCCGCGGCAGCGGCGGCCGACAAAGGCAGCGACAGCGGCAAAGGTGGTGGCGCCGATGGCAAGGCGCCACAGCAGCCGTCCCTTGCGCGCGCTCTTTGGCGGTCGTTCGGCCTGGAGTTTGCATTGGCAGGCGTCTTCAAGCTGCTGTGGAGTGGATTTGTCCTGCTGGGGGCGTCCTACTTTGTCAACGTGCGCATTGGGCAAGGGCAGCAGGAGGGGCCGACCTTGACTTGGCTGCTTGCAGGCACAACCCATCGCATGCAGCAAGCTTCGGGCATGCATGCGCACATGGCGGCCGCCACATGCGCCCCATGCATGTCGTGCCCATGCAAGCCCCCCACCCCGACCCGCCATGCAGGCCCTGATCCAGTACGTACAAGGCGTGTTCCCCGGCTCGGGCGCCCTGCCGCAAAAGGGCATCGGCTGGGTGAGCTCCGCGCCCCCACTCCTCAGCTGCAGCGCCGCCCCCCACTCATCTTGCCGTGCTCCTGGTGGTAGCGGGCCCCTGTTGCAGTGGGACAGCCTGCAACAGCTTCAATTGCGGCCTGCATGTGCTGTGTGCGGCGGCATGTAGGGCTACCTGGGCCGGTCAAACACACATTTGGGCCACACGATAAACTTGCAAATGCATTCGCCCGCGAAATCGCGTGTACATGTGTACCCGTGCATGAGCAGGTGCTGTCATGCAGCTTCTTTGCTGACTCCATCCTGGCGGGCCTGGCGCTGCAGCGGATGGGCGACGTGGCAGTGCGTGTGGGCATCAAAGCACGCGCCGCACTCATCACAGCGGTGAGCGGGGCGCTGGCAAGTGGATGATAGACATGTAGGTCTGTGGACCTGCCTGGTCGCTGTTAGATGGCTGCAAAGGCAGCACAACCCCAGACGGTTGACCACGCGTGCAGCCCTCACACGGGCGCGTGGCTGAAGGGCGTGCTGCCTGCGGGCCTTTCCGGGCGCCGTCCCATCATTTCGACCCAGGTGTACCGCAAGTCCTTCCGCCTGAACAGCACCCATGGCCACGAGGGCGGCAACATTGTGTCCCTGGTGTCCACCGACTGCATCAAGCTGTACGAGGGGGTGCAGCACTGCCACAACGTGAGCTGGGCAGGGCGGGGCGGCCGCGCGCACAGTGATGCTGCACGCGTCAGCATGGGCTTCGGAATAAGGGAGCAGCAGTGTTGCAGGCTCGCGAAGGAGGGCTGCAACGCAGCTGCATGGTTGCAGGTTGCAACGACGCATTTATGCGTGCAAGACGCATTTATGCGTAATCAGCAAAGTTGCTTCCCTGCACAATGCCATCAGGTCTGGACAGCGCCGCTGGAGGCGGCCACCATCATCGGCCTGCTGCTCTGGCGCACGGGCGGCGCCTACGGCCTGCCCGCGCTGGGCGTTGTGCTGGTGCGCGTCAGCATTGGCAACCTTTTCGAGGCTTGATGTATCTTCTTGCAGGCTGCCTGCTGTTGCGACCTTTGCACGACTCCTGGGTGATTCCTGGGTGATTGCGTCAGGAACGACAACAGTCAGCTGCCACACCAAGGACTTGATTTGCCCTGCGACGCCCACCAGGTGGTGCTCCCGCTGCAATACTACTTTGGCTACAAGATCGCAATGTACAAAATGGCAAATGTGGAGGTCTCGGACGGCCGCGTTCTGCGCATGCACGAGGTGAGGGCTGCTGCACAGTAACTGTGTGCTCCTCGGTGCCAACACGGTGCTGGCCACGCCTTCATTCTGCCCTGCTTGACCAGCCGACCGACAACGGCTGCCAGCGCTGATCAAAGGTCGCACAGCCGCGATTACGCTTTGCCGCGTGTCAGGTGACAGTTGCCCACTGAACTTAACCACCTCCTACAATGACTCTGAAGATCCTGCTGGCCATCAAGCTGGTAAAATTCTACGTCTGGGAGAGGTCCTTTGCAAAGCAGGTCGAGGAGGTGAGAACGCCATTCAGTACCAACTGGAGAACTGCCATCTGCCCACACACACGCCGCCCCACACAGAGCACCATATCACACGTAGCCTACTCGGCAACAGCGCCCTGCCCCGATCACCCTGTGCGCAGATCCGCGACGAGGAGATACGCTTGGTGCGCGCCTCGTGCGTCATCAAGACGGCCAACCTCTGCCTGGTGTTTGCTGTGCCGCCCGTCATCGCGCTCGTCATCTTTGCAACCTACGCGTACGCGGTGGGGCCCCTCACGCCCGCCATGGCGTTTGTGGTGCTCAGCCTGTTCAACACCCTGAGGTTCCCGCTGGTCGTGCTCCCCAAGGCGCTGCGAGGCGTGTCAGGTGAGCGGCCAAGGTGCAGCCTAGAATGCCCTCATATCCTTGCTGGAGCCTCGGCGCGTGTTTGAGCCATGAGAGCGTATTGGTTTGGGGCCTTGATGTCACAGCCAATGAGAGCACTCCCCACGCGTGTGCGTGCCCTCAATCCCGCTGGTCGTGCACTTATGGCAACTGCTAGAGGGTGTGGCTGCGCTGGGTCGCCTTCAGAAGTTCCTGCTGCTGCCAGAGTCAGAGGATGTCCCCGCAGCCGCTGCGGAAGGCGCCTCCATTGTGAGTATGTGCTGCTGTTTGCAGTACCAGCTGGTTCCAGGGCACGCGGGGCGTGCCCAATCATCGAGCTCCCTCTTGCGGCCTGAACTGCTTTGCTGTCGTGACGTCTTACAGTGTGCACGCTGCGCTGCCCGCGGCTACCTCTGCAAATCCTAGGAGGGTGCGGAGCTGCACTTTGGAAACCCGGAAGACTTTGTGCTCAAGGTCCCCCGCTTTGACGTGGCCAAGGGCGAGGTCGTCGCCATTGTTGGCCGAGTCGGCAGCGGTGCGTGCGCCCAGCAATGCGCTTGGGCCACGTACGGAGGCTAGCCTGCCCTTGCAGCTTGCTGGGGGTTTGAATGCGCGTTGTGGTTCAAGTCGCACGGCGCACTGAAAGATACCCGGGCTGCGCACTTTGAATGCAGGGCCGACGACCCGCTGTGGTCGTCCTGAGCTGATCAAGCAAGCCATAGTGGCGGGTCACTCATTGCGCGTGCGCTTTCAAGCACTCCCTTCTGACAAAAGGCATCCCCTCTGTCCTCATCACACCCCCACCATTCCAGGCAAGAGCAGTGTGCTGCAGGCGCTGCTGTCCAAGATGACGGCCACCAGGGGCACTGTGCATGTTGGCGGCGGCGTGACGGCCTACGTGCCGCAGAGCCCCTGGGTGCAGAACCTCACACTGCGAGAGAACATCCTCTTTGGGCTGCCTTATGACGAGGCCAGGTGCGCAAGACGTCATGCAGTGTGGGATCCCACTCCTCTGATGTGTGGAGGGCTGGGGTGCTGAGTTAGCCGGCGGGTGCCAATGAAGAGTGTCAGCCGCCCCTCAGCCTGCGGATGATGATGTCTCGTGAGCGCTGCACTGTTTGCATCACCACAAGAGCAGAGCTAGTGAGCACAGGGACCTCTCTGCCCTACCCACATACACACACAACCGCAATTGCAGTCCCAAGACACATGCAACCACCTATCACGCCCCGTACCACTGACCCAGGTACAAGCGCGTCATCCATGCGTGCGCCCTGGAGCTGGATCTCAAGATCCTGCCAAATGGTGGGTTTAATGATGGGGTTTACGGGTCGACCCAGGTTGTGTCCCTACGAGGTTGACCGCTTCAAGGACCATCCAGGGCATCAAGATGTCAAGCACGAGCTGTGTGTGCACGTATGGTTACATGCTTCGCCTTCTGTGTGTGTGCACTCTAGGAGACAGAGTTGAGGTGAGGGACAAGCACGGCAGGAGGGCATGCGGCAGGGCCGGGACTGCGGGGCTGTCGACAGCGACGGCAACCGCCCAGCCGCTGGGGACACACGAGGCCTTGGGTTTTGAATAGTTTCATCACAACACAGTGCTTTTAGAGGCGTCCTCCGCATGCTGGCCAGCCAACAGTCCCCCTGCCCCATCATTGCGTCCCAGGCGACCAGTCCATCGCGGGGGAGCGCGGCATCAACCTATCGGGCGGTCAGCGCCAGAGGCTCGCCCTCGCACGAGCCGCCTACCACGATGCAGGTGAGCAAGCGACTGAGCGACGAGCACACGCGCGCATCCGCCATTGTAGTCGTGCAGAAAAGCAGCGAGCCGCCGTGGCTTGGTTTGCGCAGCGGCTCGCACGCTCTCAATCGCCAATGATGCGTGCGCGTGTGCCCTTGCCGCCAAGCTGTCAGCCAGCCTGCATGCTCCCGCTCCGGCCTGCTGCCCAAGAACACCCCATCCCCGACC